TTTTATTTCTAAAGCAATGGAAGACGACGCACTGCCTGTTACGAAAAGGAGATCTGCAGACAGCAGCAATGTGGATTTAACACACCTTCTGTTCTCTGGCACTGCAGCATAATGCTCTTTGTTTTAATTCAGCTGATGCTTAGGAAGAGTGTACTGGCAGAACTGGTTAACAGCCTCCTGCAAAATACAGTCTGAGATCCACTTTATTCACTCCCTCCCTACCTCTCCACCGGCTCCCTCTGCCTAGGACTGTGTCAACCACCAGCCTGTCTCCGTGAAGCCTGCAGTGGTACTGAGGAGAGGGGGCGAGGGAGGGAGAGCGGGAGGGAGGAAAAAAGGAGGGGGGTGTGGGCGAGAAGGAGAAAGAGTGGAGGGGGGAAAAAAGGGATAACAAATATTTTGGAGAAGAGGAGGAGGAGGTAAATGAGCGCAACAAGGGCGGAGGGAGGAAAGATGGGTAAATGAGCAGGTGGTAAGATGGAAGGAAGATGATGGAAACAAAGGATAGGAAATGAAAATGAGAAAAATACGCGTTGTGAGGAAACAGACAGGAAAGGAAAGGTTAATATGCAGAGCGTATAAAAATTATGAGAGAAATCTAGGAATAAACAGAGCGCTCCCCACCAGCCCTAGAATGTTCTAGAAGGAAAAGCAGACAAGAGCCGCGTCATCGTTCACTTTCAATAAGAAGATGTCCCGGTGTCTACATAGAGGACCTTGCCGCGGGATTCTAGCGTCAGCTACCTGACAAGCATCTTAATTGCCAGCCATATTGGAGGATTACGGCATTAGAGTGCCTCCTCCTATTCTTCTATTACACAAAGACTTAAAGGTATACCTACCTTTCAGACTACCTGCACTAGGGGGCACTGTGCTGGTTTAAAATGTAAAAATTAGTTTTGTCACCTATACAAAAACTGGTGACAGCCATGTTATGGGCTGAGCCAGTATTCATGAGAGTGCAGTATATGAACTCTCTTAGAAGTGATGATGTCACATAAGTAGGAAGCTTTGTGCCACTGATATTAAACTGAGAATATTGGGAACATTGTATATAATGTCTCTGAGTGCAGTGAGAGTTGTATGTTTTGATATATGCTTTTGTGTATTTTTTGATCATTTGAAGTGCATTTTACATGTGTGTAGTTTAAGGTTCCGTTATATTTTTAAACTCTCCCAAGCACAATAAAGAGGAACTTTACTTGCCAATTTAAAGTCTCCTAAAACAGTTACTTTTAAAGTGACACTAATCTCAGAAATGAAAAGGATTACTCACAAAGCTAGCCAAAGGATAAGCCGTAGCTCTGGCTGATCCTTCGGCTAGCTTCAGCCACCGGAGCCCTTCGGTTCAGTCGAACCAAAGGGCTTCTGTATAGGCTATTCACTATAGCCCGTACAGCTCCCGAAGGCGGCCGAGCAGCTCAGCCGAGCCGAAGGCATATGCTTCAGCTCGACTGAGCCGAAGTGACACCCAAAGACAGCCAAAAGCCTTGCAACTAACAGCTGGGCGAAGCCATCCGTGATCTCACAGCTGGCTCTGCCAAGTTGCAATGACAGAAGACTCTAGCAGGTCCCGGCCCAGGAAACAGTTGGGCATGGCTAGCTGTCACTGCTAGCTCTGCCCAATTTTTTTTTTGTAAAGAAATCTTTATTTCTTTTTTTAAATTTATCATTTATTTACATTTTTAAACTTTTTTTTTTTTTACTTTTTTTTTTCCTACTTTTTTCACTGGTTCCATATTCTGCTCGGTACCACGGAGGTACCGAACAAAATAGCCGAGCCGAATGCTGCTTGGCGGCATTCGGCTATTCACTCACTGCCGTTCGGCCCCTATGTGAATAGGGGCGAACGGCAGCGAGTGAGCTGCCAGAGCTTCGGCTCAGCCGATCCAGATGTTGGATCGGCTGAGTTGAACTCCTTCTGCACTTCGGCTCAGCCGAACATGCTGAGCTTGTTCGGCTGAACCAAAGCAAGCTGATGTACAGCTGATTTTAGTGGATGTACGGCAAGCCTGAAGTGAATAGCCGAACAGCTTTCAGCTCACTTCACTTTGGGTGGGTTATTCACTCGGCTGCCTTTGGCAGCTTTGTGAATAACCCTCTACATCTAAAAAATGACAAAAAGCGTTCAACCTTTTTTTAAAATAATTCTTATATAATGCCTTTGGCTATCATTTATGAACTTCTATTCTGTTGGCATTGTATTTTATTGTACATTTAACTAGTGTAACTGGGGAGAATAGCCCTGATTAAGTTATTGTGTACACGGAGCGGCAGGGTTATTTTTAACCCTGCCGCTCTGCTCACTCCAGTTAGGAGAGACTCGGAAGCGGAGGACGGAGCCAGCGAGGAGAGAGGTAAGTGCAGGAGGGAGGAGAGGGGAGGACCGACTGGCCGGCTGCAGGCTTTTTACATGTGATCTCGGCGACATCGCTGAGATCACATGTAAACGAACAATCGGCTTCCCTCACTCTACATTTAGTCCTGCTCCTGCAAAGCAGGACTAAATGAAGAGAGGGCAACTTCCTCACAAGGACACCGCTGCTGCCCCTCTGCGCCCTGCCGTCCCGAGGCCGGGCCTCGGTGGCCTTGTGGGGAATCCGGGCCTGTTGGTAAGAATCTTTATAATCACTGTGACAGGGTACACGATTCTGTGTATGTCAGCGAGAGGTTGAAAAGGGCAGCTTTCCCTGGCTAGGAAAGGGTTAAGCCTGGCCAACAGGTAAACCTCCTCTCTCTCTATTAATTAGCCTGCACCTGATAGTGACTGGGAGGGAGTGAGAGCTCAGAGTGAGATCCAGGCTGCACTGGATGGACACAGACTGGAGAGTGTCTGCATATCTGGGGAATAAGGTCTGTCAGAACAATTGTTTGTATTGGACTGTGGTTTTTGTCCATTTATACTGGAAGCTGGAATAGCCGCTCCAGTAGGACGTAGTGAGGGACACTACTGTTTAGTTAGCCTCCTAAGGTGGAGTAGGCCTTTTTATTTGTGTTACTTTTTCGTTGGATGCAATAAAGCTGCATTTATTGCCATTACTGTTTAAAGACCAGTGACTTTCCTACATCACAATGAAATTATGTTTAACTTATGCTTACTGGTAACATGTTATTTTACAACAGAAAATAACCAGTTTGACATACTTTTTTTTTAGCTTGGAAACCTTTTTGTACCTTCTTCACCTGATACAACTGGGCTTAAATATTCACACATTTCATCTAATACGACTGGGCTTAAATATTCACACATTTCATCTGATACGACTGGGCTTAAATATTCACACATTTCATCTGATACGACTGGGCTTAAATATTCACACATTTCATCTGATACAACAGGGCTTAAATATTCATAAATTCAATTTTTTTGCCTTTCTTTTCCTTTTCATCTTATATTTTTTGGAGATTTTTTTTTATTATCAATGGAAATTATATTAATCTAGCTTTAACAGCTACAGATATGCCCGGATGTACTTGATTGATTAGACAACAAGTCATCTTATTTGTCTACCCCACACCATCAGCTTTTTAGGTGGGTATCATAAAAATACAAATTTATTTATTGAAAGGTTGGGTATATACACTATATCATATATAGACTTTCTGAGGGACCCCCCCATTCAAGTGGGTAATACAAATAAGTTGAAATGAGATACTATTAACTTCATTCTTTATGGATGTTGAACTGATAACTGTTATCATAATACTGACAGACTCATAACATGGAATACACGTTCTGTTGATTAGCAATCAGGTAATAGAGATGACATGTCCACAGAGGAGGCAATAATGTTTTTAACTCAGTAATTGGACCAATATGATACCTCACAAGTATACTAGGTACTTACCTCCTCAGGTTTCCCTGAGGAAGTAGACCGTTGCTTCCCAAAATGTGTTGAGATTGCTTCACATACATAACAGTTACATGCAGGGCCGGATTTACTCCCCCTGCCGCCCTAAGGCCAGGTTCCACAATACGCCCCCCCCCT